ATACATTGCTCAATTGGGGTGTATGAATACACCAACGTGATCTACTCAACCTCAGGAACATCCCCATATTTTTAAAATAATTTTTCACCGCCGCACGCGCCCCCACGCGCCGGCCACGCGCAGGCACATGCCTGGCACGCTGACGACATCAATTGACGCCGTAGGGAATATTCCGTCAGTTTTAACAGATTCCGTCAACGGTGTCAGGAATATTCTGTAAGACTTGACGGAATATTCCGTCATCTTCTCCGGCGCCGGAAAACTGGGAAAATTTTAAAACGTCCTATCTTCTTCGTTTTTCAACCAAATTTTACGAAATTGGTACCAAAATGAAGCTTACAACGAGAGGAACACAATCATACCACTTTCAAGCACCAAAAACCACTAAATCTCACCTGGAAAATCACCCCAACTCCGGCCAACTTCGAAACTCGTGATCCCGACGTCCAAAACCTTCAAACGAACCACCCCGAGCCTCCTAGGGACCTCACCAAGCTACCTACAAGCTGGAAATGGTATGGTTGGACTCCTACAAGCCTCACGAGCTCGAATATGGTCTTGGTTTCCTCGATCTGTGGAAGTTTAATGGGTTTTGGGTGTGCGTCCGTACGTTTTCAAAGGAAAGGGAAGGAATGGGGACTCGGGACAGTGCAGGAAACAGGAGGAAAAGGCTGTGGTGTGTGGGAAGGTGTGTGTGGCTTCAAACATGCCAACCAAAACTCAAAAACAACAAATAAACGTAAAGAAATCGAACTAGGGGCAAAACTGTCTTTTCACGCGTACGTTTTTAAAATTCCCGGGACCGGCTGTCACAGAAATGGTATTGGAACTTGGCTTGGTCTATTGTCTTCAAGACTTATATTGATGACATTTTCAATAAGGCTTTCCATATTAGCACTCTCTTCCACATAAACTAAGCATAGAAAAACCAAACATTAAAACCATCCAAAATCCAACGATGAGGATTTAATATCGTGTGATGTAGAAGTGTAAACAGTAAGTGAGATTAAATATTATGGCTACTATTATAGTAACATTTTTTTAATAGTTTATAACTAATGTAGAAGTGTGAAAAATATAAAAAAAATAATAATAATATACACTCACACACAAGTACTCGTAATGACAAGCTCTGCAACTTTTGTGAAGAGGTCAACTCTGAAATTCGCTACTATAATCCCATAAATTATAGATTTAAATTTAACTTTTGACTGTCGTTAATGTTTATGTTTTATTCTTCTCACTGAATTTCGTTTTTCAAATTTTCTTTTTTGAAAATATGATATTTTGCTGATATAGAAAGATGAATGGTTCAGGTAGTTGATATCACGTTCATATTTTTATGATTAGTGGACATATTGCTCAAAGTGTATAAAAACATATTACTTGGAGTTTATAAGTTCTCTAGAAACTACATAATATCGACACATATTTCAGTTAATCATAAACATCAGAATGTGATATCAACGATCCGAACCGTTTATTTTTTTGCATTCGCTAAAAGAATCATGTTTTCAAAAAAGAAAGTTTGAAAAATGAAACCAGTGAGAAAAATAGAGCGTAAACGACAAACGATGGTTAAATATAAATCTAGGGTTTATGGATTATGGTGTCGGATTTCGAAGTTGAAACCTTCACGAAAGATGTAAAACTTGTACATTAATTATTATGAATTTTTATTTATTTTACACTCAAACAAAAAAAAAAAAAAACGAAATTTACGACGGTTTGAAGGGTCATAAAAACTCAATCCATACCAAAACTGAAAACACCACTGTTTTACTGTTCATAAGAACAGTGTCCTTCCAGTTTTATTCCCGATTGGTTTATTTGATTTAATTTTTTTCCACTACCAAAATATACCAATGACATCTGGCATTGCACCCACAAACTCACAATCACTGCCACCAGTGCTCTTTGTTTCTACAATTCAATTTCCTCCCTTTCCAAGACTCGGTTTAGTTTATGCAATCCAATTTCCTCCATTTCCCTTTAACGAGAAATTTGAAACTCAGAACCCAAAACTTGCTCATATGTCGCTCTTGTGTTGGCCCGCCGATTTCCTTTTCACCATGACCTTTGCTGCAATCTCGCCACCTCCCCTTTTCCCCTGCTTCCGACGTCGTCCCTTTATTGGGTAAGCTCTGAAACCTTTGTAGAGCTCATGCGTGTTGTGTTGATTTCAGATTTTCGCTATCAATCACTCAATTTTCCACAAAACATTATTTTTGCATTTTCCTGAAGAATTTATTGTCTAATTTGGATTGAAGGAAAAAGATGGTAATTTGGTTTAGCCACCACTCCATGTATTTTATTGAAATTTTTTGTGTCTAATTAGAAAAACCAAGCAAAAACCTTTGCTTTTTAGCAAAACCCATGTCCTTAAATGTCCAAAATTTTGCATGACTTGCAGCAAAAATATGGTAATATTTGAAAGACTCTGAATTGCTAATAGATTCACTTTGTTTGGTATTTTCAGAAATTCGAGTCGTTGGAGGAAGAAGTTGGTTGCTTGACATTTTGAGGTACACCCTGATATTTATTCAAAGCCTAATTAGTTATTTACGTTTATAATTTATCTCTAAAAGCCTTCATGCTTGGATTTTTAAATATCTTAGTAATTACCTGTGGTGGTGTGGTCTGATAGTTTACCTGACTTAGTTGATAACTTTTGATGACTCGAGATGCAGGAACAGAGCCAGAAATTTCTTCTAGTGGGGGGCAGCCGAAAATAACTAAGAAAACCCTATTACAGTATGATTATACGCATTATGATATTAATGATAGTTTCAAATGATGATGTATCACAATTCCAATGTTACAAATTTTTAATATAGTAGTGGAAAGTGGCAAAGTGATGAGAAAAATATATGAACATAATAGGCGGAAGAGGGTTTTTTCGGTTTGAATGACAGAACAAGAGCACTATTACTCGTATAATATTTGATATGGAGGATAAGTATAATGAACGTATATTGGATATTAGATTTTCTTCAAAGATAACCCGTGTATATTATATAATTGTAGTATGCAACTAAATAAACGAATTACTTGAATGGAGGCATCTGCACCCAGTGAACTCCATCCATGTCGAGTCGTGAAAACCAATTTTTAGATATTTGATTAGAGTCCAACTTTGCATGCAGGGTCATCCCAGAAAGTGTAATCTACAGTTATGGAACTATCCTGCTGGACCTTTTGAGTGGAAAACATATTCCTCCAAGCCATGATGCGGACTTACATGCCTTGAACCTTTACATTATTCTTCTTTCAAGGATTCTTTTTATCTCTTCCCTGTGAATTCATTGACATTAATTTCCTAATTTTCTACTGTCTTGGTGCATGATCTTAGGATTCCAAATTTAGGCTCGAATTATGTTTTGGGATCCTCCTACTTTAATTTTCATTAGCATTCTGCGAAGCTCCGATCATTTTGAATGTTTTTGTCTTCATTGTATACAATATGTATTTATGTCCTCCACTTGATTTATTATTTTGACATGGTTCGTATTATTGATATCTCAAATTGGACTCCATGAACGGTATAAGTTCATTATGTTTGTTTACTCAAAACGTTACTTCTATGTTGAATATTTTCGTCTTTTATGAATCTTCCTGAGCTCAGATTGCATTAAACTCAAACTTTTTTAGGAATACAAATCTTTTGTTTACTGCTTTCAAAGATATGAGGATTGTTTAATGGATTATTGCATCTTCAGGCACTGGACTTGATAAGGAGAAAGAATGTATTATTGTTGATGGATTCATCATTGAAGGGCGGTATGCAAATGATGATGCCACAGAATTGGTTGAACTTGCTTCCAAATGTCTTCAGTTTGAGGCCTAGGGATAAAGGAGATGTTAGGTTTCTTCTCACAGCCATTGCACCGCTTCGAAAACAGAAATAGGTTTTGTGTTATCCTCAAGTCATCAGTTTGCTGTTTCTTTGTTTCGTGTGATACATAGTCCCTCCCATTGTTCATATTGGTTGGTTAAGATGGCATCTCATGTTTTAATGGGCCTCCAGAAAAAGCACTATTGTGGTTCAACCATGCTTTATCCTCTCGGAAAGGCCTCTGCCACCTATTTTGTTCCTTATTGTAAACACTATTGTATATATATTTAGAACTTTCAACATGTTTTTTTTTAGTTTTAAAACCCGCAGCATTACGCGGGCAATTTTTGCTAGTCTAAACTATATAACAATTGTGTAAGTAAAGAGGGCGCAATCACAAACGTTTATATATTCTTTCACATTATTCAACTTGGACATTAATTATAATTTTTATTTTTTTTATTTTTTTAATTTGAACTCCGCCTAAAAACACTATTAATGAGGGTTTGTAGGGTTTAAAAATTCAAACGACGATGTACCCATCGTCAAAGAGCAAAGGATGTGATCACGAGTGTTTGTGTATTTTTTCACATTTTCACAATTGTAAATAAATTATTACAATTTTTTTTATGTGCTTTGGTATTTTAAATTGCTTTGTATTTTTAATGGGCTTTGGAAATTTTTAATTCCACTTATTTGAGATTATACTATGGCTATTGTAGTAACTAGCAAAGTTTTTATAGTATTTCAAAATTATCAAACTAACTTTTTTCTTAACCAATTGATACGGGTTATCCATGTGTAAACTCGTTAAGAAATTTACGATCCAATTAGTTATCGAGTCGACCCAAAATTCGTTATTTTTTGTATAGTGTTAACGAGGTCGTGTAAGAAATTAACAACTCTAAGATCGATGTAGCCACTTAGTAGTATGGTCTAGTGATATTTCTCTTCACTTGTAAGCCAGAAGATTTATGTTCGATTCTTGTCAAATGAGAATTTAAATCATATTATCGCTAACTTATTATGATGTTAAATTCATTTTCTCTTTTTTAATATAAATAATATGGTTTGTTAAAAAAAAAAAAAAAAAATTGCACGGATTGTAAAGTTGATTATTAATGCGCATTCATACGGAAACAGACAAAAATTGTTGCGCTTTCTCTCTCTCTCTCTCTCTCATTGGCTGTTGTTTCCTTCTGTACGAAGTAGGAAAGGAAGGCTGCAGGCTGTCCTCTGCGAGTGCGATACCTTCCTTCCTTCCTCCCTCGTTCCCGTTTGTTGCCGTCTGCGTCTACGTTCTCCATCGCCCACTCCGATTGTAATCAAAATTAAACAAGATCAATTAAGGTAATGCATTCCTTAACTATTCATTATCATAAACATACATCTCTCTCTTTCTCTCATTACTACATACTTAATTATATTGTAATTCATTGGTCATGCATCGTTTGCTCTTCTTTCGGTCTACAATTGGCAATTTGGAACCTTTTGTCGACTACATCTAATTTCTAAATAATTCTTGATGATTATTGTCATTGGGATTTTTTTTTTTTTTTTATCGAGGAAGCGATATTCTAATTAATCTATTTTAAAATACGGAGAGGGAGAGGCGAAGACCAAGTTTCTCTAATTAATTTGGCTACGTCCATTTTTGCAAGAGGTTAGAATTTGTTATTGGGATCTTTAGAACCCTGCTATGTGTAGAATTATATGAGAAATGAGCGAAAAGCCCATTTCCAACTACATCGATATTGTCCAAACTTGTTAATTATCACTTGCACAATCCGTCAAGGGTTGAGGTTTATCACAAAAGTCCTCGATTTTAGTTGGAGTGTGGTTTTGATATTTAAACTCTTTTTTTCTCATAGATACGGTCGATGTGAGATATTTCAACAGTCTGCTCCCCTAAATCCAATCTGAGCTTTAATAATTCCCAAATACTCTTCAGATAGTTTGTTGTTGCTTGTTGGTTAAGTTATAGCTGCTCTCAGTCAGGGTCAGCATATGAGTTAACATATTCACTAGATTGTTTGCTGTACACTAAATTAAATAATTTCTTACCTGTTCTTGCTTAATTACATGCTAATGTCATTTATCTGGTTTAATGACTTCAACCAGGTATTTTAATTAATGTTTAATTGCATTGCTAATCTGCTAGCTGCTACGTATATAGCAGATTCGCAATGCAATTGCAAAGTATAATTAGTTGTATTTTTTATCTCACCCAGATGATCATAATTTTGTTTCCAAGTGAAGTAGTTTTGCTTTACGTATTGTGATTTGTGTATGAATCAAGTATCAAGATATTGTTTTTTCTAGCAGTAGCAATGGCATCGCCTGACTCGTGGATGCGAGAATTCAATGATGCTTCAAAGCTTGCTGATGAAATCAATGGCATGATTTCCGGAAGGAGTTCGTTGCCAGTGTCACCCTCTGGACCAGAAACACAACGTCATATGTCTGCAACTCGAAGAAAGGTTACGATACTAAGGACAAAGCTTGAGACTTTGCACTCACTCCTGTCTAAGCTTCCCACCAAGCAGAAGGAGTCAATGTGAGTAATATTCGAATTCACTTACACTATCTGTCCGCCCGCTCTCATACAAAAGAAAGACGTTGTTAGTAGTGGCATTAAGTACTCCATACCTAATTTCATAGGGAACCTTAGGGTGGTTCAGTTTTAGTGTACCTTATTACATCCAACGGGGTTAAATCAGACAAACTTCAAACTTAAATCCTATGTGAAGTTTCTAAATATTAAGCAGTGTCAAACTTGCTAGTTTTACGCTCCAATCAATTAAACCTTCCCCATCATGCAGTCTGAAGTAGCAAAATATTGAACTTTTAGTGTACATCCATGTTCCAAAGAATTATTGTCTGACCAGGTACGGCTTCAGAATGCTTCTTCATTCGAACAAATCAAACCACAGCCTTAGACTATACCATCAATGCTGTTGCACAACTTCTTTCATCGGCACATTTCTTTCCTAATGTTTCTCTAGCTAGCCAGTATTATTCACTGAACTGCCCAACTATCTGTTGCCATTAACATCTGTCACACACTTTCTTTGAGTAAAACTTCGAAGCGAAGAATTAGCAGGGTGTTCTTTGTCCTCTTTTTCTACTAAATTGTGTCGAAATGTATGGTTGGTATCGAATTTCAGAGTCATGAGATTAGTTAGGATTGCTTAACTTTTTGGGTTTTGTTTTGCTCATATTACTTTATTTTAGCTGGTTATCACTCTAAATACAAATTTTAATAGCTGTTGTGATAAACAGAACAGGAAAAGAAATGAATCGTCGCAAAGATATGCTCGCAAGTTTGAGTTCTAAAGCTGATCAAATGGCTACTACTCTCAACATGTCTAGTCTTGCTAACAGAAATAACTTGCTTGGCCCTGATAAGAAGATGGATGACATAATGAGCAGAACAACTGGTTTAGACAACCATGGTCTTGTTGGCTTTCAACGACAAATCATTAAAGGCATGTGCTTGTAAATTGTATGATTATTAGTTTCTCCACCATGTGATTTAGTCTGTGACTAATTGTAAAACGTTTTACGTTCCTAGCAGAACAAGATGAAGGCCTTGACAAATTGGAGGAGACGGTTATTAGTACCAAACACATTGCGTTGGCAGTCAACGAGGAACTTGATCTGCACACGAGGCTTCTGGTTTGCTCTTTTGCTGATTTCTTCTCCACTTTACTTTATTACTGTTCCTTTCATGTTCAACCAGAATTGCACAGAGGATAGCTGCAGTTTTTTTTACTGTCCGTTCCTTGCTTCCACAATGTGCAGGATAATCTGGACCAGCAGGTGGAATCAACAAATTCGAACCTACAGGTTGAATCATTACAGTTATTGCATGCTTATCTAGTTTGAATTTCACCGGATCGCACCCGCATTCACGCACCCATACACTATTCGTTATGCTCACTTCTTCCAGGCATAGAAACTAGAAAGTGCCACCCTAAATCTCAAATCTCTTTTCAAACAGAAGAGAACATGTTCTAAAAGAATGACTGTAGTCGTATTGTGCTGAGAAAATGCAGTATTCACCTAGTATTTGAGCTGCCTTGTTTTAATGTATATGCATAGCTTAGCTAGTGCTTAACAAGTTGTGTGGATATTGGATGATTTTTCGTATGTTTGTGATCGATTTACCCTTTTAAGCTGTCAGTTTAATTTATTCTACCTCTCCGTTATGCTCAATTGACGCGAGTTTGTTCTTGAAACAGCGGGTGCAAAAGAAATTGGCAGTACTGAACAAACGCAACAAAGGTGGTTGTTCTTGCTTGATCCTACTGGTCATTGGAGTTGTGATTTTGATAATTGTCACCTGGGCATTGATTAAGTACTTGTAGCAGTAACGGGAAACTTTGCCAATGCTCGAGTTTTCGAGCTAGATGTGATGCTAGTTAACTCGTAATCGAACGGTTGGAGAGTGAGAAACTCATGTCATTGATATATAAGTATGTGTCAAATTCTCAACCAGAACTTTTGGTTGAATGATACATGTCTATTCATATTGGCTTTGCTGTATTTAGAGGGATTACTATTTGAAAGTGAGATAAACTCCACTTCTTGTCCATGTTGTAACTTCTACCATCGGAAGTTGAGGCCTTAAGCCCCCCCGTTTGGCATAGAAGATTAGATTGGAATGGATAACCTTCAAATTCAAGGTATATTGACAGTTAAGGACAATGATTTTGCATTTTGAGATGATTATAAGGGGATTTTGACATGAAGGAAGTAATATATTTGCAGAAAGAATGCCGGGACTAGAGTTCAAATCAAGCGAAAATAGTGCTTGACATACGAGCTTCTTGACGATTGTTCATATGAATTTACTTTTAATTACTTTGATACATTAAAAGAATTTGAAATGCGTCATCCAAATATTCTGTTTCTAACTTTCTATGCACAAATATTCTCTCGTGTTACAAGAGTGAAAAGAGTAGATTTCCGGTTGGCGACATGAAAATCGAAGCCATAATATAGATGAAAATGAAGATGCGCCGGATGAACCTCAAATGAACTAGTTACTAAATTTGCAATTTAACCACCATATTGACATCGGCCTATGAAACCACGTACTGCTGTAAATGTTTCGTTCTTTTCTTGTTCTTCAGTTTTCGGAATGCACATGACTCTATTTGTCTAATTCTCTCTCTACTAACTCCCATCAGCTCCCCTATCTCTTGCAGTGTCTTCATCCTTCCATCCTCCAATCCAAACCTCCATCTGACAACCTGCTTCTCTCTAGTATTGAGACTATCTAGTACCTTCTCCAAATCCTGCTTCATAAATTTTTTCATCAGCAGATCTTCTGCTGTTTCTGCGTCTGGATCTGAGATTACTTCCTGTGAAGAACGACATGTAATCATCAGGAAAGGAACACACAAAAGGTGACCAAAATGTTGGATAAAAATTGCCATTTCATTGGATGTAGAGATAGGACAGACCGAAGGTTTTAGATTCTGGTTGATTCCAATTTTCTGCTCCAGAGATCTAGGGGCTTTTGGAGTCAGTAATACAGCAGAAAGCCTTTTCATCGACAGCCCTGTTGCCTCTGCAACTTCTTCATCATTAGGATGTCTTCCATTTAAACTGTACAGTTGCTTTTTAGCCTCTCTAACTCTATATGTCGCCTCCACCATGTGAAACTGTTTTACCAAAATAATACAAATGCAAAGAGTATTAAAAATATGAAGCACAAGGATACACAGATTCAGCAGGAATGTGAATCATAACAATGATCCTCCCCGCCTCAAAATCAATTTCAGTCTCTGTATTCATGTTTCAAGAAGAGAAAAAAATTGGATTCTGCCATGTGTTGGTCCAGTAAAATGGGGTCCCAACCATTCAAACCTCAAGAGCCATGATACGAAATAGGAACCACAGGTAAAAATAAATATATGAAGGTAAAACTCACGGGTAAGCGAATTGTTCTGGACTGGTCAGACAGAGATTTTCGAACAGCCTGTTTAATCCACCAGTGTGCATAGGTTGAGAACTTAAAACCCTTTGAAGCGTCAAATTTCTCTGCACCTCTTACAAGGCCTCGACATCCTTCCTGAAAGTCAATAACCAAGAATAAGTATTCAAAGGCAGCAAGACTTTAAGGAAATAGGTTTTTCATCCTTCAGGATAAGTACTTTCATACGAAAAGCAAATATATATATATATATATATATATTTAATAACAAAGATAAAATCATACCTGCACAAGATCTTGAAGATTCATCCCAGCTCCCTGATAATTTTTTGCAATTGATATTACAAGCCTTATGTTGCTCTTGATCATTTTGTCTTTGCACAGAATACCATAGTTTACACGCTTCCTCAAAGTCTTCTGATCAACTCCTGCAGCTGCAGCCCATTGTGCAATGGTGGGCTGACCACCACATCTTTGTGCAAGGTCCTCATGCAGCTTTTCCAGTTTCAGTAGTTCCTGAAATATATAGCAATATTAAGGCATCAGAAATCAGACTAAAGAGAAATAAATACAATACTCACATTAACTCCAAATACTAGAAACTCTTGTCTATTTACTTCTACTTGTACAATATTACAATGACTTCACTATTCCCCTACTTTTACTTGTACTCCATTACCACCTCTGCATGCATTTAACTTTCTAGGACTGAACAATTTTCTCGAAATTTTCCCCGTTTTCATCCATGACATGATAACATACTATATCAATCAAAATCCATGCGCAATTCTTATCCAACGCTTCCCAGTAAAAGCCTTATACAATTATACTCTTCGAATTTAATTCCATGAAGTAAATGAACTGGCAAAATAACTTCTCAAGTGTTGGCCATAAACAATTTTAGCGAATCTATCAATAGATTCAATATCAACCCATGAGTAGTATGTTTTAGCCTCTGTGATAGCCCACATAATTTAGACATCAAGTATACTTAACCCATGAAAGGATATTGTGTGCATGGTTCATTTTTAAATCACTGCAAAATGGAAGTATATTTGTGAGTAGTTCAGTGAAGGATCTTCTTTACAGTATTGAACTTTCTCATGGTTATCAGTGAGGATGTGACCTATCAGCTACAAAAAGGGTAAATAAACCTTTTCATTCATTTTTTTTATTTTTATAATTTGTTATTTATATTTTCTGAGGGTGCAGGGGTGCAGTATCAATCAAGATTGCAAGCAAGGAGTAATTGAAAGATTTCATAAGCATCAAGGTAGATTCAAAACTCTCATGATGACACTAGTAGTACCTGGATTCCTTCAGAAAACTCAATTTCTTCGTTTGCAGTAAGCAGGCGAGAAGTGTGGGTAGTTGATCTCAAATAACGCAATGGATCTGAGTGGTCTATTTCTTGTACCGAAGAACGCTTTTTTCTAGTGGCTGAACCAGACTTCACGGACACAACACTTGCAGCAGCCTTTTCTGCTGCTTTTGCTCTTCTAGCCTTCCTTTCCGTTTGACGACTCGATTTTGCAGTTATACCCTTGGAAAGTTGCTCCTGCAGAAGTTCAAATTCTTCATTTGTTTGCTCCACTTCTTCCAACTCTTTTATTGCAGATTGAATGAAATGATCTTCCACAAATGCAGTTTCAGCTCCCATGGAAGCTCCTACTCTAGAAACCTGTTCGGTTTCCATATGCTGAGCCCAATTGAAATGCAAAGCTTTAGTCTCTGGAGAAATTGGAGATGAACTTTCTGGTTTAGCAGAGTGATTAGTGCTACTGCTAACCAGCATAGCCACATCCTTTGCAACCTTCAGAGCCGCTTTTGCAAGAGTGACAGCTTCGGCGGCAGCAGCTTCTATTACAGCCTCTTCACTCGTGAGAAGAGTTTCTGTAGCTAAAGTTGCTCCAAAATTCGCCTGATGAGAAACATCCAAGTTAACTAGAGTTGTAAGCTCAACGTCTTTCATACATACAGAAAAATTAAATTGGGAAAGAAAATACCTGGAATCCTAAACTCTAAACCCGACAATAGAGCATGAGATCAGAATTTATAATTGCAGTATGCTATGAACAAGTGAAGGTGGCTAGGCCACAGCATCTAAAACATGCTCAAAAACCATCTGAAAACCTAACCAGAATCCATTCAAACTTTTAGAACGGTTTGTGTTATTTATTTGAATGAATGCAAACCTAGTTTGTGTAAGTTATCTATTACCCAAGAATCATGCAAATCCGGCAGGCATTTAAAAAAACATTCTCAATTTGGTCACAAGCTCAATGATAATCAAAACAAACTACCTAAATGTGTGCACCTCTGCACTTAAATATGATGACCAAGAACAAAACTAAATAGATAAATAAATTGGGGAAGCCTTACACCCGGGAGTGACAACTTTAAAGTAAAGATAATATATGAAAAATATGCACTGAAGAGACTCAATTATCAATTAGTAACCATTACCTCAGTCAGAGGACCGATTGCCCCTGTGTATGTCCACGGTCTACTTGAAGCCAGAGAATCAGAATTAACTTCTAAAGACGGTAATCTGAGCCTCTCCAAATCAAGCACTGTAGTTGTTGCTGTTGATGTTGAATGCGATGTAGTGGATAAGATATATTGTGCCCGGAAACACAGAGGATCTCTAGTTTTAGCTGCATATTTCAACCAATAAAATCATAAGGAAAAGTTGCATTCCGTTTAAATATCACAGAAAAGAAAAAACAAATCAAATTTTCTCGTCTCCAGCTCCAACTAATAAGCCAGAGGATGGTCAATGGGTGACCATGGAAACTCCATATGTCACCATCATCATCATCACCAACACAAACACCACCACTCACCACCACAATTAACACATATCTAACACTTAAAAGTGCGTTGCCACTTAGCTAAATGGGTACCCACTGACCATCCCTAGCAGGGCCTTCCACGACAACATGTTTGGTATAGAGCATCCAACAAAAGTATAAATATTCAACAAAAATTCATTACAAATATACACACACATCCTTATGTGACTCATAATATTACATGAACTATTGATTCGATTGTAAAACACCAACTTCGCAGAGGTGATAGAGTAGAGCAAAGAGCAATCAGAATGAAATGGGCAAAAAGGTAACGAGAATGCAGAAGGTAATTCAAAGGAATGAAACCTTGGAAGCTACTGTGTTTCAAAAATTCATCAAAGAAAAGAGTGCGTGGGGTCCTGAGGACTGTGAGCTTGGTGGCCATGACTCCTCCTCCAATGGCGGCGGCGCTCCTCTTCTGCTTCTTCTTATTCTTCTGGTCATTTGCTGGGTGAGCCCCAACGAGTGGGAGTGGGAGTTGGGTGAGAAATGAGGCATTGGGAAGGGCGTGTATGTGGGAATTACAGAATCCAACGGCTACGGATGATGAGGATGATGATGAAACTGATAGGATTGACATGTCCTTCTTCTTCTTCTTCTTCTTCTACATCTAACGCTTCAAAGGCATTGGCATGGATGCGAGAGACTCACAGAGAGAGCGGTTTTCTTATCCTCAAGGATTTGGAGTTTTGGACCACCCAAACCCAAAACTAAAGAACAGGCTCCTTCTATCAATTCATTTTTTCAAGAGAACTGATAGGGCCCAGGAATGTTTTATATTATTGTCATAAAAATTGGTCAAAAAGATCAAGTAGCAGAAAGTTTACGAAGAGTCTCACTTTTGAGAGAGTTTCTTTGCATTTTTTTTTTAATTTGACCAAATCCTATATAT